GGGAACAATGTACTCAGAAATTACTTTTAAGATTGTGTGCCACTATAGAAATGGATATAACAGAGGTTACAGAAGAGGAACAGATTCTACAGGATAAAATAGAGACTGAGGCTGATTTGAATGTGGATTTGAAAACAGATTTGAAAAAAATGCCAGATTATAAGAGTGATATGGAAGAAGATGTGGACCTGAAAATTTATTTAAAAATGACAGACTATAAGAGTCACATAGAAAAAGATGGCACAGTGGATTTACAAATGAAACTGGCTGATGTTTTAATAACTAAAGGAGACATACAAATAATAAGTCAGATGAGTGACTTGCATAGCTTTTTCATTTTGGACTTATAAAAGGGTTCTGTCAAACTACTAAACAGTACTAAACTACTACTGTTCCTGAGAGGAGACAAAGAGAAAAAGATAAGAAATCAACCTGTGGGACACTATTTGTTGGAATTAAAGACCAAGCTTTTAAAAAGTTAAACGGAAGGACTACAAAGTGAACTTATTTGATCAGAGTTTTTATATACATATATATACAAATATATTGGTTTCTGGTAGCTGTTAAAGGAATTTCTTTATGACCAGGACTGAATGACGATGCTTTAAAGAATTGTTTACAGCTGGGGAGAGATTTGTTTTGCTTTATCTCTTAGAGATAGTGATACGTTGGAGCAGAAAATGGATTTATTTCATTGTTTTTATATACATACATATATATAATTAATTAATCAATTAATTAGTTAATCACTGGTAGTAATTAATGGGCTTTTGATGAATGAGTTTTTATAATTCATTTATTGATAAGAGATGAGTTATGGAAAGAAGATTTTTTTTATTATTCAAATATTAGATAAAGTGTTAAGTTATCAGAGTTGTTTATACTTGTCTGGAGGGAGTCACTTATATATTTCTTCTTTTCTTTCTTTTCTTTTTTCTTTTCTGCACTTTTTCTTTTCCTCACTTTTTATATTTCTCTTAGTTTGTATTACTCTTTTATCTTTGTATTTGTAAACTTTAATAAAATTATTATCACAAAAAACCTAAAAAAATTACATCTATTGCAAAGTCATTCTCTTTACTGAAAATTGGAGGATGGGGGGGGGAAGAACAAAATTTTTGTAGCTGCAGTTCTAGGATGCCTAATAAGATATCAACAGTAACTTTTCACATACATTTCAGAGGCAATCTGCAAGACTCAACTGAATTTTCTTACCTAAAAATATATAACACACCACTACAGACTCAGTGCAGACAATCTACTCCCTCCATATAATTTATTGACAAATCATCATCTTAGCTAAGATCATCTTGCCTAAGATTTCCTTTATCTAAATTTCAGCGTGGCTATCCAATCATGAACATTTACAGGTGACAGAAATATTTAAGAATACTTATATGTGACTTAAACCAAGGTTTTTATAAAGTTTTCCCCTTGGTGAAAAAGAAGAGATAACCTGTCTCAATCTGGCAATGACGCCTACTTATATCCATATGAAATAAAAAGGATAAAAATTAGCTTTTTCCAAAAAAATCCTCTATAAAAATTTAAGACAAAGTTTTACCAAATCTGACAGGCATCACTGCTCAATATATAATGCCATCTAGTGGTCAGCAGCAAAATTTGGATAGTTCAAATTGTGAGTTTAGAAGCATTAAGTCCAATGCTTTACACATCAACCCATATAATCCCATTAATGTGAATCAAGTATTTTTAACATCCTGGATACAGCTGAGTAGGAAGAACTACTCAAATCCTGTGAAAGTTGGCAAGCTTACTTCAGATTCTATTAATAAATGTTCAATAAAAAGTGCATTAGCTTATTTAAATCCATCTCTAATCTCAGCACAGAAGCCATTTTAAAAAGACTTATACACGAACATTCAATACCTCATTCCACTAATACCCAAGACAATCAACCTGATTTACTAAAGCTGTGCAGCTCCTTTGGAAATGGTGCTTTGGAATTCATCAGGGTATACCGTATTTTTCCATCAATAAGAGGCTCCCATGTACAAGACAACCCCCACTTTTCCAACCCAAAATTAAGAAATCAATATTTTAAA